ATTTATTTGAGCGATGGCGATCCCCTCATATTGTTTTCCAGTTGGCCTCACATGTCTATACACAAGGAAACAAACATCAGGGAGGTTTTACCACTTTTTTTTTTTCTGCCTTTTCGCAGACTAGTCCTGCCTGAAAAATACTGGGCTGAGACCAGTCAGCAATGGCATTTTGACCTCAAGGGGGATGTCCAGCAGCAGTGTGTATCCTCCTCTTAATTGCTGCGTTCTTTGTCCGAGCTAGAGAGATGCTCATGGGAGTTGTGTGAGATCTTAGTAATCCTCTCGTGTATGGCAGTTACTGTAAGTGATCTTTAAAGCCTTCAAGCAGAGGAATATAAAAAGGGGAGTGCTCAAAAGCTGGCTTTTGCTTCATTACAGTACAGCTCTACTGCTTAAACCAAACCCTGTGCTTTCCTACCATCACTGCCATCTGCTTTGGTGTGATCCAGGGTGCAGGAGAGAGGAGCAACAGCTCAGGAGTCTCATCAGTGTGCAGTGCTGGGTTCCCCACTAGAGAGAGACAAGGATATACTGGAGAGAGTCCAGCAAAAGGCTGCTGAGCTGATGAAGAGCTTGGAGCATCTGACAAATTGGAAGAGCCTGAGAGAGCTGGGGCTGTTCAGCCTGGAGAAGAGACAGCTCAGGGGGATCTTACCCATGTGTATAAATTCCTGATGGGGTAAAGAAGACTGATAGAGACTTCTTGGTGGTATCCAGTGGAAGCACAAGAGGCAGTGGGCACAAGTGAAATGTAGGAAATTCATATGTTTAAATAAATATTTTAAAAGTGTTGTTGTTTTTTTTTTTCTGTCAGAGTGGTGAAACACTAGAACGGACCCAAACATCTGCCCCTTAAAGTGTTCCAAATTTAACAAAGTTGCTCTTGCGCCAGGGAAAGTGTGTCTTTGCTGTGTTGTGCTCCCTAGGGAGGGAGCGTGCACGGGCAGTGAGACAGTCGAGGCAGTGTTGTTGCTGCTCTGTGTGACCCCGTTGGTGACGTGCTGGTGCAGCAGCTTTGCAGCAGCTGTCGGCACTCTCCTTTTCTACAGCGAGTGCAGTGGGTTCCTGCAGCCCTCACCCGCGATCCAGGGTGAGTCAGCAGAGGGCAGCCCTTCAACGCCAGGACTTTGCAGCCCTGGACTAAGGACCAGTTTCCTGCTGCACAGCTGGAGCATCCTCCCTTCCCAGGCCTGAGAACCCAACAAGTGGCTGCTGACTGACAGTCCCGTTGGCACCTCTAGGGATGGGTGACACTCAACACTCATCCGTGGACAAGTGGCACAGAGGGAAGGGCAGCTGTAGCTGTGGGGTCCAACCAGCTGCTCTTGCCATACCCAGCCTTGCACGGTGTCTATACCTGTCCTGGTGGCACACCTGGATGTCCCCTGAGCACACCAGGAGTGCTGGCTGGTGGTCTGTGCAGCTGAGGATATCATTTTCCCCTTGTTTTGGCAAGGAGGCACGAGCTGCACAAAAAGCATTGCTCAAGGAGTTCTTCACATGTGGACCTGGGGCAGTCTATGTCTTGGCTTTGCTGTCAAGAGAGGTAAGTGTGCAGATGTAATCATAAGGTATTTGGTTGTGGTTTTTTTTTTAATTTTGAAGTATTTGAAATACATTAAAATATCACAGTTGAATCTCAAAAAGAATTTTGAAACTGGGAAATGGCAGATGTAATGGCATTTATAATTCTCTCCCTGCCCAGCAAAAAAGCACATCTGAATCTGGGTTACTGAGTCCTGCAGGACACTCTCCAATGCCATAAAGCACTTGGTTAATCACCTGCTTAAGGCTGATCACACAGGTAAGTGCTTTCTGGGACAGGCCATTTGCAAGTGATTAAAAGGCCCACAGATAACCAGTGAAGGCAGTGAAAAATGGGATTATTGGCTAATAATATTAAGTGTCTTTTATCTTGGATGGCTTGTGAGAAATTAAGTCCTAAACCTGCCACTAACCCTTCAGCACCTCTGGGAGGTTTGCAGAGTTGGTCCTGGAGTCCCTTATATGTGGTTCCAGACCTTATATCTCTGTGAGCTGCACTGACAGATGTTAGTAAAAAAAAAAAAAGGTATTTTTCCTTGATGCATCCTCTGTGCTATAGCACTTCTGGTAAGTGGGAAGGATTCTACTATCAGACTAATACAGTGTCCTCTGCAAACTTTCTTTTCTTGTAGTTGGTGCTGTCCAGCAGATCTGGGGAGGAGGTGGCAAAAGAGCTGTTTCAGCCAGGTTGGCTGTACCTTCCAGTGCATATCCTCACTGAGCACTACAACCTGGTGCTGCTTTTCCCCCTCTGATCAGTCAGGCAGGTGTGGGATCAAAGTGACATCGAGGACCTCAAGTCTGTAGCCTCAATGAAGAGGTGGAAATGTTAGCACAGTTGAGTCTGTGAGTTCCCCATGGTAGACAGTGTTCAAGAAAGTTTGGTCATCTGAGGCAGTTTAACTCCTCAGCACCTCCAGAATGCCCATGTGTGTTCTTGGCTGCCTTTCTTCCCTGTAAAAAAGGAGATGAAAACTACAATCCTTGCAACTTTGGGCTTGTCCGTCGCAGCAGTGCTGTGGCTGCTGTCGTCTTGCCTTAACACTCCTTGTGCTTGAGACTCTTATTCTGATGTTTCTGATGTTCCCAAGAGGGAGTCACAGCTTTCTGCGAGCTGTTTTCATGTGATGTGTCCTTCCCATTGCTTCTATTTTCCTTTTGTTTTCATGCTTTGCTTCAAAAAACAGCTCCACTGTTCACTGGTCTTCCCTGGCTGCAGAGCTCAGTTGAGTAGGATGCTGATGGGCAGCTGATCAGATGCAGCCCCTGGTTGGCACCAAACCAAGCTCATAATCTTAGTAGGAACCCTTTGCTTCTGACTGGATAAAAAATGGGGTGGGTGCTTTAGGGAGGATTTTATTTCTTGTCAAGTGACTTGTCACAGCTCTCTTCTCCTCAGCCCCTGGACAAAGACTCTGGTTCTCAGAGCTGTTCCTAAATGTCTGGAAATGGCTCTGCCACAAGTGGTGACTCCAGTCATTGGTGCTGTGCTGGCTGTGGCAAACATCATGTTACCTGTCCCCTTGAGGCCAGGTGAATGAGACCTAACAATTTCATTTGCCAGTTCATTGCAGTGCAGTGTCTAGAGCTGTGTACTGTGGTGATCTGAAGTGGCTGGTAAAATCTCTCCCAAGAAAGATCATGGGTATGGGGATAAGGAACTGAACCTCAGTGCACCGCTGCTGGAATTGTGTGTCACAAAGGCTTTCACTTCTTAACTTAGGTTTTGAAAAGCTTTGTGGAAATGCAAATTCTCCAGCTCCTCAATCTTCTTTTTTTCTGCCCCTCATTTCATAGATATTTGATAATTAACAATAAACTTTTGGATTTGTTTTGCCTCTGGTGTAAAAAATCAGAGCAATGTTTCATATGAAATGGTGTCTGCTGCCTCTTCAGTGAACTGCTAAAAAGCAGAACAATAACTGGCTTGCATGCTTTAGAAGTCACAAATAACATTTTTGAATGGCTTGGATCATAATAGCTGTATTCATTACCTCCTACAGATTGGCTCCCATAATCAAAACAATTTCTCTATATGTTGTGTGACTTACAGCATGCTTATAATTCCAGTGAGATCCTTGTAGATAGTATTTAATCAGCCATATGGCACAATGTGTGTAAATTCCTCAAGCGTATGACTATATGGCAACTCTATTCAATTCAGCATCTTGCTGTGAAAATACAACAAAATGAAATAAGTAAAAAAAAAATTATAAGGCTTTAATGTACAAAACAAAGGATCAGTGGCTCTCTGTTGTAATTTCAGAATCACCATCCTTAAAAGCAGTGTACAATGACAATGTAACAAAGATTAGGAATTAAGTCCTAAGGAACCTTCTCTTAAATCCTTACTTCTTGCTTTTGCAGCTGGGCAAGCACAGGGGATTGTGGCCTCTCTCATCAAAGCACTTTCCTGTAGCAAACTCTATAGGTTGGAGATTTTCTGGTTTAATCCCTGATGGCAACTCAGCCCCAGCTGTTCCATCCCTTCCCCCCAGTGGGATGGGGGTGGGAGAATTGGAAGGGTAAAAGTGATACAACTCATGGGTTGAAATAAAGACAGTTCAATAGGTAAAACAAAGCCCCACACACAGGCAAAGCAAAACAAGGAATTAGTTCACCACTTCCCATGAGCAGGCAAGTGTTCAGGCATCCCTAGAAAAGGAGAGCTCCAGCAGCCGTGACTTAGGAAGCCACTCTGAAAGTCCCCACTTCCTCCTTCTGCCCCAGCTTTATACCAGGAATATGATGGCATGTGGTCTGGGATATCCTTTGGGTCAGCTGTTCTGGCTGTGTCCTCTCCCACCTCCTTGTTGCACTGGGCTGGGGTGAGGAGCAGAAAAGTCTTTGACTCTGTAAGGGCTGCTCAGCAGTAACGAAAACATCCTAGTTATCCACACCGTTTCCAGCACAAATCCAAAACACAGCCCCATACCAACTACCGTGGAGAAAATTAACTCTATCCCAGCCACAACCAGAACAGAGATGCTCAGTAAAAAGATCTTGCCCTGGATCCAGCTTAGCCTTGCAGGAACAGCCGGTAGAGCAGGGACGCACCTTGGGCAGAGCCACACGGAGACCACCCGCCCAAACGGACCGGTGTCCCATCCGGCACCGACCCTCCGCGGGGTATTGTTCTCAGTGTCCAGCCACTTCAGCCGGAGGCTGCTGCCCTCGGGTGAGCCCCGGCACCTGTGCCCTTGCCTGGGCAAACCGGGGCTGCGTCCGCGGAGCCCACCGGGGAGCATCCCCTGCGGTGAGCGGGGACACGGTCTGGCCGTGCCGGGCCGAGGCACTGCCCCAGCCCGGGGCTGTCCGTGTGTCCATGGCCGGCCCGGGGGCACCTGCGGCGGGGACAAAGCGGGGCCGGGCGGGGCGGGGCGAGCAGGGACCCTCCCGGTCCCGCCCCGCGGCTCCGCCCGCCCCGGCCCGGCCGCGCCCGCCGGCAGCGAGGGAGGGAAGCGGGGAGGTACCAGCCCGCGGATCGGATCGGCTCGCCTGGGTTTGGCTCGGCTCGGACCATGTCGCCATGTCGGAAGTGAGGAAGTTCACGAAGCGGCTCAGCAAGCCGGGCACGGCGGCCGAGCTGCGGCAGAGCGTGTCCGAGGCGGTGCGCAGCTCCTTCGTGCTGGTGAGCGCGGGCACAGCCCGGGCGGGGCCGCGCGTCCCGCTCGGAGCCCGGGGAAGGGGCAGAGCTGGGCAGGGGATGCGCCGATCGCGGGGAGAGGAAGAGGAAGGGGCTGGGCAGGGGCCGGAGAAGGGGCAGAGCTGGGTCGGCGCTGGGCAGAGCGGGGGATGCTCAGGGCGAGGCGGGGCAGGGTTTGGGAAGCGCTATGCGAGAGATGGGCGGGCGCGGCTGGGCAAGGCAGGGGATGGGGAAGGGATCCCTCTTTGGGATCCTCTCCGTGTGTTTGTGCCGTGCCATCCCACCTGCCGTCACCGCGCCCCTCAGCACCGCTCAAAGCTGAGAGGAGCGCAGGGAAGCGGCACTTTATCCACCTGGCGTGAGTTAGTGTCTGGGTGGTGCGAGCAAGAATTAACGGGAATCTGTCGGTGCAGGGCACTGAGCAAACAGGTAACAGAGCCCACCTTCCACAGGGTGCAGGCAGCGTGAAACTGGCACATAGATAGGGCAGGACTGAAGGGCACGGCCTGGCAAGGTGAGAGAGAGGCACGGGCTTTGGCGTAAGCCGGGAGCCCGCAATATCCCGGGAATCGCCCTCAAATGTCTGGGGTGAACATCACGTGCGTTATCCGATGGGTTTCATCCCCGCATGTGGGATGCTGCAGCAGGTTGTCTTTGTTGTGCTCGCAGCTGTGCAAACGTTAGCGCTGTGCCCTGGGAGGATGCCGGGGTCAGCTCACAGCTTCCCAGGGCTTTGTTGGATGGATTGCACTGGTGTTCATTGAATTACTCTAGCATGTAATCAACTTTGACCTTGACACTGATGGAAGGAAGGTTAGTCAATGGGATATGCAGAAAGTGCAGTACAAGTTCAGGGAATAATTCCTATTAGTTCTCTACTATTAGATTAAATGGCTTGTGCTGTTAAACAAATTGAGAGGTTTGAACAATCTTTTAAAAACAGAGTTTTCTTGAAAATTTACTGATTTCTAAAGCTGTAAAAAAGCCATGGTGATAATCCAGTCTGACTTCCTAGCGCTAGTTTTGCTTCCAATGTGCGGTTGTTCAGGGATCCTTATGGGCTTACATGTGATTTGCTTTCCCTCTTTCATCAACAATACACAGAGGCAAATGTTTTGTACAAGCTGATGGAACCTCTGATTAAAAATGAAATTGTGTGTATAGGACCAGAAGAGCTTTGTTATCCTACAGGCAAATGGTTACTTGGCACCTGTTCCAGGAAGCTCAGGGAGGGAAGGGGTGAGTGAGAGTGTCAGAAAGGGAAGGAATGGGTGGGACTGCAGATGAAGATAAATAAAATCTTGACAGGCACACGAAGAAGCTGTCAGAGTCCAGCATCCATCAGCAGCCAGTCTCTTTCTAGTGTTTCATTGCCCACACTGCCCCTGCCAACTTCTCTGTCTTTCTGGCAGGCAAACCCCCAGAGCTGCTGTGCTGCCTGGTGTGTTGGCAGCCAAGTGCCAAAGGAGGATGAGGGCAGGTGTCTCTGATCCCTAGGTCTTGGCAGACTTTCCTGCTTTTGGCAGTTCAATAGCAATGGATAAATCCCAGCACTTCTGCATCACTAGGAAGAGCCGTAAGACACTGCAGTGATCAAGGAGTGGGGACGGAGCTGGCACAAGGTTATAGGACTGTCTCAGATGGTGTTTTTGCCACCCTCAGTAATTAAGGTTAAGGTTCATGCTTTTCAGGTTGTTCCAAGAAAAGGTGGTTTCTCTCCATCTGTTAGTCCATTGTCCTGTGAGGAAGGGATGCCTGTGCACTGGTGTGCTGGCTGTTGGGAGGGTGCAGAGAGGATTCCGGGAAATGATGGTGGAGAGAGGGGGAGACTGAAAGCTTGTAGTTTCTGATCCTGATCCCAAGGTGAGGCTCTGTCTTGGTGCTGATGGTGCACATCCCCTACCCATCTGCCTCCTCCTTGCCATGGGCAGTGTGGGGGAGATCGAAGGGCCCAGCATCAGGAGTGTGCCAGCAGGCTGTGGTCCCAGCTGTGCCTCACCCTGAGGCAGTGCTGAGCTCACCAATGGCCCATGGATATGTGGGGAGCAGGGGCTGGTGCTTGGTGAGTGGACAGAGCAGGCTGGCACCATGTGGTGCTGTGTGTCCCACGAGCTGGGACTTTCTGAAGCAGACTGGAGTTGCACTAGAGACTTTGCCTGGCAGGATCCCATCCCCTTCCTGCAGCCTGGACACAGCAGGTCAATAAAAAGTCAATAAAAGTGTGTGAGTAGTTTAATGCTCTTCAGGCCCTGGGGGACACCCTGCCTGTCCCTCTGTGATCCTGTCAGGTGCCTTGTCTGTCTGCTTGCCTTGGGGCAATCTGGCTGAAAGCATGGGGATCTGTGGTGGTGAGCATGGATGCGATGAAGGAATGGGGAGCAGAACTAATGCTGCAGGTTCCAGAGCACACACCTTCATCCACAGGAGGAATGGGCACTATAGGGCTCTTTCAGTGTGTTGGTTGAGCTCAACACTTTGGGCATTCAGGGCACTCCTCGAGACAAGGAACTGTCTGGAGTAAGAAGACATTTGTAGTCAGTGAATGAAATACTCATAAATGAAAATATCTCAGTGAAGAAAGCTTTTAACATCATGGAAGTGGTCAGCCTATAGAGAGCCACAATTTGTGCATTAAAGGAGATGCATCCCAGCCAGGAGCGCCGTGCTCCTGCATGGCCAGCCTGAGCCAGAGTGATGTCTGCAACACTGCGTTTCCAAAAGTGCTGCCCTGCAGGTGCAGTGAAGCCTGTGTCATCTTATTTCTGTTCCTGGTTTTCCATTTATGACTCTCTAGTGCAAGGAGACTATTTATACTTCTCTTTGGTTTGCAGAGCTGGACTGAAGTTGGTGGGAGTTTGGTTGTTGACTTTGGCAGGGCTTTGCTCCTTTGTGCTTGTGAAAGGGAAGTGTTGGATATGGTGGTGGCTGGACATCAGCAGCGAGGGGAGGTTGTCCCTTTCCAAGGTGTCCTGGAGTACCTGTGTTCACCCACTGCCCTTTGGACCAGCTGCTAGGATGCAGTTAGAGCTGTTCCTGCCATGATCTAAACGGAGCTGTAACCTGGAGCTATAGTAGTGAAAGTAACAGGCTGTGTTGGGGAGCTGGGAAGCACTTTGGGCCCTGTGGGATGGATGGGGAAGGATGAAGTACAGTTCACTTTGGGCTCTGCTGCTGTTTCCAGTGTCCCAGCTGTCATTCTGGCCTTGCATCACATTCACAGACAGGCTGTGTAGGGGAGGTCTGGGCTCCGAGGAAAGAGTTCAGTGGGAATCCCTTGAAAGCAGACACAGCCCTGCAGAGCAGCATCAGGAGTGCCTGGGGTGCCTCAGGCAGCCGGGCTGTGTGGGAACCCGGGTTCTCTCTGTGCAGTTTCTTCCCAAAGCTGCAGGGCAGATTGTATCAATTTCAGCTTTGAATGCTCCCTGATGTGCGCTACTGATTACAGCTGGGGATGGAGTTTTGGCAGACTAATTGACAAACAAGGTCACTGTTTAAACAAACAAATTTAGTGAAAGCATTAGTTGGCAGGTGGGATAAATGACTTGCTAGAAGATAAAGGAAAATTTTAGGATTAGGTTAAAGAAAGGAGCAGTCAAAGCCCAAGTGTGATAACTTAAACCATTCTTAACCAAGAGATGACCTGCAACTTAAACTTTGGGGCACCAACAGTACAATACTGTGTTAGAAATGCAACTTCAGAGCTGAAATGCTGATGATACCTGGGAGAGGCACCTGGGCTAGAGCTCAGGAGAGCAGCCAGGGCCTTTGCCAGTGGAGGGACATGGGTGATTTTGGCTCAGATCTTCAATGCAATCTCCCTCCTCCCATGCTCTCCACACTGAGAGCTTTGTTGCTGAGTAATAATGGGAAAGTTGAGCAGCAGGGCAGGGGAACCCTGCTCCAAGTCACTGGCTGATGTGGGACCTGAGCAGTCACAGAGCTCAGACACTTGCCAGCAGGATGCACATGTGTGCTCAGGTGTGTGGTCCTCATTCCATCAGGAGGTGCCTGTGCACCTCTCCTTCGCTCCATGAAGTGCAGTGGGGCATCATAGAATTGAGCTGTTCAAGAGCACATGTGTGTGAGTGAGATCTCAAGTGTTGTGGCACTGACAGGACAATAGCAAAGGCTCTTCTTTCTGCCTCAGGATCAGATCAGCTGCACGTGGTCACTTGCTTCTGTGTGGTTGTAAGGCCAAAACTGAGACAGAGTCTCCCTGTGCCTCCCCTCTCTCTTTGGGAGTGATGTTCAGCAGTGGCTCAGCTCCTGCAAGGAGAGAGCTGTGTCTCAAGCCAGTTGCAAGTTTTCCAGAGGTGTCATCTTCTGTGTCGTGACAGAGAAATAAAATGTGTGGGAGACACGAGATCAGAGCAGCAAGCACTTGACAAAACTCAGATGATGCATTTTCCCACAGTGCTGCCAAACCTACTCATCTGGTGGCAATTTTAAGTCTCGCACAATTACTCTGATTTTCTTTAGATCAGTTCTATACAGATTAACTAAAGATGCATTTACTGCTTTGCCATAGAGATTTACAAAGGGTGCAGAGCCAGAGTATCTTATCTGAGAAGGAGCAGCTGCAAAGGATTTGCCCACACTGAGTGTCAGCCAGCCCAGTGGAGCATCTCCAGGCACCCCAGGGCACAGCTTGGTGGCACCCAGGCACACTCAGCTCTTGGCCACACCTCTGCCAGCACGGGAACTCCCAGCAATTGCAGTGTGGGAGAACCTCTACTTGCAAACAACTGCATCGATCCTTGCCATCCAGAGGTATCCAAGGCGAGTGTCTGCTCTCTGTGTTATGTGGTGCTGTGGGATGTGCTCCCTGAAACCTCACTGTGAGACGGGGTGGGCAGCGTGCCAGGAGGAGATGGGTTTTGTTTGATCCTGGCTGGGCTGGGTTCATATGGGTGGCTCAGTTTCAGTCAGTTATAAAAAGGAGATAAAAAGCACCTTAATAGTGATACTAAGAAGGTTTTGACTGG